CACCTACTTTGCTTACCTGACTTCACAGAAGTAGTGACCCACTATTGTATCCATAAGTAAACGAAGACCCAGGGTTCTCTTTCATGACTACGGCTGTTTGCTATCATTCTTATAATGTTGCTGTAAGCCGCGACTGTCATCTGCCTCATTGCATCGCCGTTTCTGAACATAGAAGTTTAGTCACGCTGTCTCCATTAAATGCTACAAGTTGGTCGTCCAGGAATCCAACACTGTGCAATTTTTGTCTTGTGGCCAGCTGATTCTCGAAGCCACTCCCTCTTTAAGTTTCTTCCACAACAAACATATGATTATGCTTTAGCCAGTGTGTATGCAGCTGTTTTTATAGTCTAGATGTAAATAAGGACTCAGGTTCGCCAAAACATTTTGCGCATTTGCATAAATAAACTAGTCCAGGCACATGCCGCGAGATAAATTGAACCTTTTTCGTAACGGGTTAAGCTGACAAGTAAACTGCACCAGGTCCAAGTCAGTCGCTTTTAATCCCTACACTATTTTCGAGAACGTTCCGCCTACATAAAAGTCGGTCACTTTGCGTCTGCCAAATTGTCAGAACCACAGAACGAAGACGGTTTATGTGAGTGAAGCATAACTGAGCCTGTGACCATTTTTTTAAAATAATCTGCGTCATACACATCTTTTATGCCCAACCGAAATGCAGAAATGCAGTTTATCACAGGGCATTTATTTCGTAAGTCGTTCATTGTCTGCACACTGGCAAATCCATGAGAAATCAAACTGGTCAGCTTAATGCTAATAAATTTTTCTCAAGGGCAAGTCAGGGTAAAGAATGGAGATTTACTTGCGTTGTAAGTTTAGCGTATACTTGCATTGGTATGCTATGCGCGAAGATGCTTTCAGTGGGATTGGCATGTACTCAACTTTACTACAATTCATTTGACTCAATTGTAAAAAAATGTGCGGCCTCGGCGGTAGTCGAACCCACACAGGAGGGGAGGCTTTTGTACAGCCACAGCTACGAAACTTTAAATTTAACCATACATCGGTCAATTTCCCCGCCCAGCCTACTGCTCGTATGGAATCCACCATTACGGATACAGTAAGATGACTGCCCAGGCAGGATTTACTAAGCAATTATCTATAATCCACTAGAATGACTACTAGGCTCACTTACTTGTTAGGGGGATTTTGGCTCATTTGGATGATAGACGCGAGCGCGTTCCTACGAAATTGTACTGCTTCCCGAATGTCAGTAAATCCCCTTCTACTTGAATGCATCCGCCACGATGGCCATACACGCACCCTGTTTTTGATAGTTCCTGTTGATGATTGCGAGATTGACCGCCTGCTGGGCGTCAGTCGTCGACAGTTATAATTGGTGTAGTGTGTTTTCGTGGTAAGTTTTCTCACGTGGGCTGTCTTCGTAATCGTGTGTAAAAATAGGGTCCCGTTGGGTAGTCCATTCTTTTTCAAGATGTAGTCCGGTGATCAG